CTGGGCCAGAGTGGATAGAGAGGGGGCCAGGAGACAGTTCCATCTGTCTTCTGTATATGTCATCAGCTGGGGACCCCTCCCCACAGCACCAACTGCTGCTCTGGGCCAGAGTGAAAGGGGGGGGGGGCAAGGGACAGTTCCACCTTGTTTCCCCTGCTATTCTGATAATATATCGTATATACATTTAATATTTATAATATTATAACGTAATGCAATATAATAATAATAATAATAATAATAATAATAATATGATATTGTAATTATATATTTTTTTTACATGTAATATTACTAATAATATTATGATATAGTGGTATGATGCAATATAGCAATGTTTAATACGGATATTGTACTATGCTAATAATATAAAATATTATATGTAATATATACCTTGTAAGCCACTCTGAGTCCCCTTCGGGGTGAGAAGGGCAGCATATAAATGTCGTAAATAAATAATAAATAAATAAGTAATAAAATATGTCATCAGCGGGGGACCCCTGCCCCCAGGAACAACTGCCGCTCTGGGCCAGAGTGAAGAGAGAGGTGTCCAGGGGACAGTTCCATCTTGTCTACTGCATATGTCATCAGTCGGGGACCCCTCCCTACAGCACCAATTGCTGCTCTGGGCAAGGGTGAAAAGAGGGGGGGGGGGCAGTGGACAGTTCCACCTTGTCTCCTGTGCTATTCTAATAATACAATATAATGTACTATAATATAATATATATACATATAATATTTATAATATTATAATGTAATGCAATATAATATGATATTGTAATTATATATTTATATTACATGTAATATTACTAATAATATGACAATATAATGGTATAGTACGATATAATAATATTTAATACTGATATTGTACTATGCTAATCTATAGAAATAAAAATGTCATGTTCATTTGTGGGGTTAACTTAACTCAAAAACCACTGGACGAATTGACACCAAATTTGGACACAATACACCTATCAGGCCAACGAGTGACCATCACTCATAAAGACACTGGAAAACACAGCGGAAGAGACTTAAAAGCCAAAAAACAAAAATTACATTATATAAATGATATAAATAAATAAATAAACATCACTTGTCCAAAGGGTTGACTTCTAACAAGGTCATGCCTTTCCTTGACTAGTTGTTTTCAAAAGGTGGACTCCAGATGTTCATTGAGATTCACATTTGCAAAACTGATATGAAATCATTTTTTTCCTTTTCAAAAAGATTGATTGCCATTTCCCCCCAAAATTGATTGAGCCTTCCTGCCTGGCAGAGTTGAGCTGAATGGCCCTTGGGATCCCTTCCAACCTTAGAATTCTGATTCAACAGTTAGGTGGCCATCTGTCAAGAGGGATTAGGTTGTGTCTTTCTGCCTGACAGAAGGGCGTGGGACTGGATTAACCCTTGGGGTTTATCCCCATTCTAGGATTCTATGAGAAAGCGAGACCCTTGATTCAGGAACAGCCTCCCCTGCCTGCTGGTCTCGTCCAGCCTGCCCAATGATACCTTTCATGCCACTGCCGTCCTCCTGGAAGGTATTGCGACTCCCGGGCTGCTCCTCCGTCTGTTCGCTGCCGGAAGAGGCCACGCTGCTCTGGGGCGAGAGGGGTGCGTGCTCTCCGCCAGAGATGAAGGCCGGCCGGGCACCCATCTCCTCCACGCTCATCCACTCGCCGGGGACCTGCTGGCTGGTGGGGATGAGGGACATGGAGCGCTTCAGGGGGCTGGGGTGGATTTGGCAGGGGAATGCTGCAACCGGAAAGATTCAGAATGAGGATCTGTTCAAGGCACGTGGCGCAAAACCACTGATGGTGCACCCCACGTTCTGTATAAAAGCAGGCATGGGCAAACTTCAGCCCTCGAGGTGTTTTGGGTTATAGAGTAAAATAGAGTAAAATAATAAATGTAATAATAATAATAATAATAAAGTAAAATAATGGAAATGTAATAATAACAGTAATAGAGTGTAATAAATGCAATAATAGAGTAAAATAATAATAATAATAATAATAATAATAATAATAATAATAAAAAGAGTAAATAATAATCTATCACAAAAAAACAGGAAAACGTATTGATTCAAGTATAAGCCGACGGTGGGAAATGCAGCAGCTACGAGTAAATTTCAAAATAACAATAGATACTAATAACATTACATTAATTGAGGCACCCGTAGGTTCAATGTTTTTGAACATTTACATAAAACTGTAATTTAAGACCGTCCAACTCTGATTCAACCATTATTCTAACCTTCTTCAATGTAAAGGTGCTTCCAATAATAATAAAGAGAGTAAAATAATAAATGTAATAATAATAATAATAATAATGAGTAAAATAATGAAAATGTAATAATAACAGTAATACAGTAATAGTGTAATAAACATAATAATAGAGTAAAATAATAAATGTAATAACAATAAAAATAAAGAGTTAATAATAATAATAATACCAGAGAAAATAGAATAGCAAATCACGATCTGTCAACTGCAAAAGGCCACCTGACTTGGATCTTGGACTTGGAAATAATAAACAGAGTATAATAATAAATGGAGCCTCCTGTGGCACAGTGGGTGAAATTGCTGAACTGCTGAACTTGCTAACCAAAAGGTTGCAGGTTCAAATCTGGGGAGCGGAGTGAGCTCCCACTGTTAGCCCTAGCTTCTGCCAACCTAGCAGTTCGAGAACATGCAAATGTGAGTAGATCAATAGGCAGCGCTCTGGCAGGAAGGCAACAGTGCTCCATGCAGTCATGCCAGCCACATGACCCAAGAGGGGTCTGCGGACAATGCCAGATCTTCGGCTTAGAAACGGAGATGAGCCCCAACCCCCAGAGTCGGACACGACTGGACTTAATGTCAGGGGAAAACCTTTACTTTTACCTTAGAGTACAATAATAAATATATTAATAAAGAAAATAAAAAAGTAATAATAAAATAAAAATGTAGTAACAGTGTAAAACAATGTAAATGTAATAATAATAATAATAATAAATAGAGTAAAATAATAAATGCGATAATAATAATAAATAGAGTAAAATAATAAATGCAATAATAAAATTAATAATAATAATAATAAACAGAGTAAAATAATAAATAACTTTGACTCAAGTATAAGCCGAGAGGGGCTTTTTCAGCTTTATAGGTGTTAACCTATAAAGCCCTAAACGACTCCGGCCCTGTTTACCTCTCCGAAACCGTATTCTCCCCTACGAACCATCAAGACCACTAAGATCGTCTGGAGGGGCCCTGCTCTCGGTCCCACCGCCTGCACAAGCATGGCTGGTGGGGACGAGGGACAGGGCCTTCTCGATGGTGGCCCCTCGACTTTGGAACTCCCTGCCATTAGAGATCAGAACTGCCCCCTCCCTCATGACGTTCAGGAAACTAACAAAGACCTGGTTGTGGAACGCGGCATTTGACAACTGATTTAATTCTTTGCCCACATGAAAGGAGGATGATGAATGGGATTGTGATGGTGTTGGACGATTTGGCTCTTTTAACTGTGATGATAATGTTTTAATGTGTATAGTGCTGATATTTTAATCATGTTATGAAGTGGCATTGTGTTGTTATTGTATATTCTTTGTATGTTAACACATGTTGTGAACCGGTCCGAATCCCTCTTTGAAGGTGAGAGGGTCGGTATATAAAACCTCGAAATAAATAAATAAATAAAAAGGTCTTATACTTGAGTATATATGGTATCCATTCCACAGACACATCTCCAAATTATTTTGCAAGGTTGTGGCAGCAACCTTGCCTGTTTTGATGATTTTGTGCATGTAACAAAGTTGGCATACTTTGAACCACCAGAAAGCAAGGGTATCACATCTCAGCCACCCATATGGCCAATTTTGGAATATTTTTGGGTTTCTGGATAAGGGATGCTCAACATGTATTGGGACTCAATGTGCCAGGACGTTTGTCCTCTACACAGCTCCCAGGTTGAGCTCCCTGAAAGACTGCACTTTCAACAGTCCCAGGCCAACACACCTGTGTTTGTGCTGCTCCCGATACTGTTGATGGCCGACGGCACGGAGCCCGAAGGGTGGAAGGACATGTGTCCGTTTTCCCTGGGCGGCTTCTCCTGCCAGCCGTGCCCCAGCTCTCCCAGGCCCGTGTCTGCCGGCCCCGGCCATTCATCGGAGCCTTGGCGCGAGTGATAGGCCGTGTCGGGCCGCCCCCGGCCTTGGCTGGAGTAGCTGCCAGAGAAATGCTCCTCGAGGTGGTTGAGCCAGAGGGCCAGGGAGTTGCGGTCGTCCAGCGTGGTCGCCGGGTGGATGAGGGCGTAGGAGAGGAGCTGCCTGCTCTCCTCGATGAAGCCGTTGCTCTCGATGGAGTAGGCCAGCACCTTCTGCAAGAGCTTCATGTACTCCGACTTGGCGTCTGCATTGCCCGGCTGGAGAAGGGGCAGGTGGGAGAGGAGCAGGGAAACCACTTTTTCCTTTGGCTCCTGGTGCCACTGGCTGATGACAGCTGTTAGGAAAAGGAAAGTGGGTCAGGCAGGTATTTAACAAATCGGAATGGCTGACAACGATGTACAGGTGATACAGGAAACCCCTCTACATGCCTTTGGAGAGTGACCCACAGTGTTTCACTTACAGTGTTTTCCTCATATTGGACTTCCTCCCATCTTATTGAAGGTCTAACTCCACTGTTCCGTCCCCTATGAGCTCCTCCCCCACAAATATACCTTTTTCATTGCTATCTCATTCAGAGTTTTATCATTTTATGTTGTGCATTTGGCTCACCCACTGTTTTTGATTTTCCATTGTTTTTTTTTGCACTGTTCATTTTACCTGAATGTTTTATTTATTTTATTGTGATGTTATTTTTAGGTTCTTGTGGGTTTTTTCGGGCTATATGGCCATTTGTTCTAGAGGCATTTTCTCCTGACGTTTCGCCTGCATCTATGGCAAGCATCCTCAGAGGTAGTGAGGTCTGTTGGAATTAGGAAAATTGATTTATATATCTGTGGAATGACTGGGGTGGGGCAAAGAGCTCTTCTCTGCTAGAGCTGGGTGTGAATCTTTCAACTGACCACCTTCATTAGCATTTGAAGGCCTGGCTGAGCCTGGGGGAATCTTTTGTTGAGAGGTGTTAAGATGTGCCTGGTTGTTTCCTCTCTGCTGTTTTGCTGTTGTATTTTTGTTGTTCATATTTTATTTTGCTGTAATGTATCACTGGGCTTGGCCTCATGTAAGCCACTCCAAATCCCCTTTGGAGAGATGGTGGCGGGGTATAAATAATAATAATAATAATAATAATAATTATTATTATTATTATTATTATTATTATTATTAGCTATCCCCTGCCACGCGTTGCTGTGGCCCAATCTGGTGATCTGGAAAATAAGGTAATGAGAAAGTCTTGGTATCTAATATATGTAATGTCTTTATGCTTTCTTGCCTGGTTTGCCCACCCTAGAATATGCAACATATCATTGTCCTTCTTTAAGGGTCCCTTTCAAATCTATAATACTATAATATAAGAATGGGGGATGATGCCTGGCTCGAGAGCAGGACGTGTGAAAAAGTTCTTTGAGTCCTCGTGGACAACAAGTTAAACATGAGTCAACAATGTGATGCGGCAGCAAAAAAAGCCAATGGGATGTTGGCCTGCATCAATAGAAGCCTACTGTCTAGATCCAGGGAAGTCATGCTCCCCATGCTGTATTCCGCTTTGGTTAGACCACACCTGGAATATTGTGTCCAATTCTGGGCACCACAATTCAAGAGAGAAACTGACAAGCTGGAATGTGTCCAGAGGTGGGCGACTAAAATGATCAAGGGTCTGGAGAACAAGCCCTATGAGGAGCGGCTTAAGGAGCTGGGCATGTTTAGCCTGAAGAAGAGAAGGCTGAGAAGAGATTTCTGTGTACGAACCCACATAGTCTCTTCGATCATCTGGAAAGGCCCTGTTCTCGCTCCCACCTCCTTTGCAGGAGCGATTGGTGGGGACGAGGGAGAGGGCCTTCTCGGTGGTGGCCCCTTGACTCTGGAATTCACTCTCTAAGGACATCAGACATGCCCAAGCTCTGGCAGTCTTTAGGAGGAGCCTGAAAACGTGGTTGTTCCAGTGTGGCTTCCCAGAATAATGAAAACTCTCAGCAATATGTCCTCAAATGCACTTTAATATTGATTTAGGATTGTCTGCGCACCCTCATCTTTCTCTGAAAACTCTATTCTAGTTTACCCTACCTTGTTTATGCCCAGCATTTTTAATTTCAATTATTACATTTGGCCCGGCCATAGGTTTCAAATGCTGTATGTTATTGTTATTGTTTACTGCTTATTGTGTATTTTTTGTTTTTGAGTTTATTTTAACTGTTTTGTATTGATTATTTGTTATTGCCTTTGTTTATTGATGTATTGTGGGCTTGGCCTCATGTAAGCCGCACCGAGTCCCTTGGGAAGATGGTAGCGGGGTACAAATAAAGTATTATTATTATTATTATTATTATTATTATTATTATATGATAGCCATGTATAAATATGTGAGAGGATGCCACAGGGAGGAGGGAGCAAGCTTGTTTTCTGCTTCCTTGGAGACTAGGACGCGGAACAATGGTTTCAAACCACAAGAAAGGAGATTCCATCTGAACACGAGGAAGAACTTCCTGACTGTGAGAGCCGTTCAGCACTGGAACTCTCTGCCCTGGAGTGTGGTGGAGGCTCCTTCTTTGGAGGCTTTTAAACAGAGGCTAGATGGTCACTTGTCAGGGGTGCTTTGAATGCAATATTCCTGCTTCTTGGCAGAATGGGGTTGGACTGGGTGGCCCATAAGGTCTCTTCCAACTCTAGGATTCTATGATTCTAAAACTAGAGGGTGTTTGATGGCCACTTGGTGGGGTGGGGGATGGAGGTTAACTGAATGCTGGGACGTTCACATAGATTAGTGAGATCCGATTGAACTTGTGAGGACACGGATGCCTTACTAGTGGCTCACTGAAAAGAGACAGATGCCACACGGTAATCACTGTCAATATTTATCTTTTATACACACTTAGGGTCCTGTTCAAAGTGGAGGAAGCAAAGGTAAATTCCTATCTTTGTCACAAATCCATACACATTGAGAAATGTAGCAAATCCAGACAGTGCTGTTCTTAAAACAGGCATGTTCTTAAAACTGTGAGTAGCTGCAAGTGTAAATAGGCTTTGTGGAAAACTCTTCCGCCACAATATGTGTTAGGTGATCAGGTGGCGGGGTATAAATAAAGTATTATTATTATTATTATTATTATTATTATTATTATTATTATTCAGGGGGAGAACACCTGTCTGAAAAAAAATGCAGCGAACGGATCCTGCCTTCATGCCCTTTTTGTGGACTCAACGGAGCCCCGTCAGATGAGATTATTTTGATCCAATCTTGCAAAATGTTTGGTCAGACACCTAACAATTATTTCTACACAAACAGGCTGCTTAGATCCAATCTTCCGGGTGTTAAAAGGCTAGCTTTAGGAAGTGGACGTCCGTCTTACCTGCGTTGTTGGCCTCGGACTCCAGGACGTGGATCTCGGTGCAGTCTGCCAGTGAGTGCTCCAGGCACAGCTGCAGAAAGCGGGCTTGGGTGCGAGAGATGCGCTTGAGGAGGGAGAGCAGGGCCACCGTCTGCTCGCATTCGTTCCAGCCTTTGAACCACCCCGTCAGGATGCCCACCTGGTCCCGGAACATCATGGTGCCTGGTGTCTCAGGGCTTCGTGACAATTTGCCCACAGCAAGAGTCAAGGGAAGCGCAGGGGCGGGGAAACCCCTCACATGTTTTCAACTTCAAGTCTTGGGGTTTTGCAGAAGGGCACACACCAAAACGCTGGTCTCCCTGTTAGCAGGCAAACAGGATGGCATGGAAAGGCAGGCCTCACGGTTGCAAAAAGCTGGGTCTCTCTGGGTTCCTTGCGATTCCTCCGCTTTATCAGGCAGCTTCAGATCCCCTTGGAAGAGACAATGCAAGCCAAGAATTAGGATGCTGATGTCCCATGCCACTGAACCCCCAAAAGTATACTAGGAATAGACTGCTCTTAAGGTTGCACTATTTATAATGCAGTAACAAGGTGCGCAGTGGCACTTGGTGCTGCAGTGGGTTAAAGCGCTGAGCTGCTGAACTTGTTGACCAAAAGGTCGCAGGTTCGAATCCAGGGAGCGGCATGAGCTCCCACTGTTAGCCCCAGCTTTTGCCAACCTAGCAGTTTTGAAAACATGCAAATGTGAGTAGAACAATAGGTACCGCTCCAGCGGGAAGGTATCAGCACTCCATGCAATCATGCCGGCCACATGACCTTGGAGTTGTCTACGGACAATGCCAACTCTTCGGCTTAGAAATGGAGATGAACACCAACCCCAGAGTTGGACCCCAAAAGTGCTGTTCCAGCCGTCACCAGCCAACCCCTCTCCAATGCCAGAGATACAGCTTAATGGTGTCACATTAGAAAATGTTGACCATTTCCGCTACCTTGGCAGCCCCCTCTCCACCAAAGTCAACATTGACGCCGAAATACAACACCGCCTGAGCTCTGTGAGTGCAGCATTCTTCCCAATGAAGCAGAGAGTGTTTGAGGACTGGGACATCCATAGGGAGACCAAGGTGCTTGTTTATAAAGCCATTCCCCTCCCAACCCTGCTCTATGCCTGCGAAATGCGGACTGTCTACAGACGTCACATGCAACTCCTGTAACGATTCCATCAGCGTTGCCTCCGGAAAATCCTGCAAATCTCTTGGGAAGACAAGCAAACAAACGTCAGCATGCTGGAAGAAGCAAACACCACCAGCATTGAAGTGATGGTCTTCCGCCATCAACTCCGCTGGACCGGCCACGTTGACTGGATGCCCGACCATTGTCTCCCAAAGCAGTTGCTCTACTCCAAACTCAAGAACGGAAAACGGAATGTTGGTGGGCAGGAAAAGAGATTTAAAGGCAGGCCCAAAGCCAACCTCAAAAACTCTGGCATAGACACTGAGGACTGGGAAGCCCTGGCCCTTGAACGCTCCAGCTGGAGGTCAGCTGTGACCAGCAGTGCTGCAGAATTTGAAGAGTCACAAATGAAGGGTGAAAGAGAGAAACATGCCAAGAAGCCAGAAGCCAACAACATAAGCGGTATCTAGTTTCTGGTTTGGACCACAGTTGTGCTTTTTTGGAAAGGAAACTAAGGCTTTTGTAGGGATTCCACATCCGCACCACTTCTAGTGGGTTCTAGGAGTCGTCTTGTGCTATTTGGGGATGCACATGCAAACATTTGAGGAGTTACACGTGGCTTTCCACAGCCCTGGTTAGACAGAATGCCAAACTTTGGTCTAGACTAGTGTTTCTAATGCCGCAGCCCCTTAATACAGTTCCTCATGTTGTGGCGACACCCAACCATAACATTATTCTTGTTGCTACTTCATAACTGTATTTTTGCTAATGTTATGAATTGTAATGTAAATATCTGATATGCAGGATCGATTTTCATTCACTGGACAAAATTTGGCACACATACCCAATACACCAAAATTTGAAGGGGGGGGGGGGATTATTTTTGTCATTTTGGAGTTGTAGTTCCGGGGATGTATAATTCACCTACAATCAAAGAGCATTCTGAACTCCACCAAGGATGGAATTGAGCCAAACTTGGCACACAGAATTCCCTTGACCCACAGAAAATACTGGAATTTTTTTGGCTGACCTTGAGTTTTGGAGTTGTAGTTCACCTACATCCAGAGAACACTGTGGACTCAAACAATGATGGATCTGGACCAAACTTGGCACAAATCTATATATATATAAATGCTCTGTGCATAATGAGTACCTTAAAAACAAAAGAACCAATGAACGAAATCACACCAAATTTGGCAACAAAACGTCTCACTACACAAGGAGTGACCATCACTCAAAAATTATGATTTTGTCATTTGGGAGTTGTAGTTGCTGGGATTTATAGTTCACCTATAATCAAAGAGCATTCTGAACTCCACCAACAATGGAATTGAACCAAACATGGCACACAGAACTCCCATGACCACCAGAAAATACTGAAAGGATTTGGTGGGCATTGACCTTGAATTTTGGAATTGTAGTTCACCTACATCTAGAGAGCACTGTGGACTCAAAGAATGTTGGATCTGGACCAAACTTGGCATGAATACTCTATATACCCAAATATACACACTGGTGGAATTTGGGGGGGGGGGGACTTTAACATTTGGGAGTTGTAGTTGCTAGGATTTATAATTCACTTACAATCAAAGAGCATTCTGAACCCCACCAATGATAGAATTTGGCCAAACTTGGCACACAGAACCCACATGACCAACAGAAAACACTGTTTTCTGGTCATCTTTGGCAACCCCTCTGTCACCCTTCGCAACCCCCCATGGTCCCAATCCCCAGGTTGAGAAACACTGGTCCAGTCTAAATTCAGGTCAGTCTCCAGAGGAAGAGAAGAAAGCATTAGGTTTATGCTTATTGCAAAATGAATACAAATGAATGTGAACCTGATGGCACAGCATGCCCTGTGCGTTAACAACAACAGTAAGAAAAATAAAAACAAAAACCTTCCAGACCAATCTGTTGTATGGCAATACAAACAAACCAGGATAAATGGGCCTTGCCTTTTTCAGCATGTGTTTTCTGTGGTTTGCTCCTCACTTTCTATAATAACAATAATAATAGTAATAATAATATAATTATATTACAATATTATAATTATATTATAATAATACACGGACACGATATGAGGATTTAAAGACTGAACTACAAAGACTCTGGCACAAGCCAGTCAAGGTGGTCCCAGTGGTGATCAGCACACTGGGTGCAGTGCCTAAAGACCTTGGCCTGCACTTAAACACAATCAGCACTGACAGAATTACCATCTGCCATCTGCAAAAGGCCACCTTACTGGGATCTGCACCCATTATTCGCCGACACATGACACAGTCCTAGACACTTGGGAAGTGTCTGACGTGTGATCCAATACAACAGCCAGCAGAGTGTCTGTTGTGTTTATTATAATAATAATAATAATAATAATAATAATAATAATAATAATGGATTGTCAATGTCGCAATCCCAGGTGACAGCAGGATTGCAGAAAAACAACAGGAAAAGCTGACACAATATGAGGATTTAAAGATCGAACTGTAAAGACTCTGGCACAAGCCAGTCAAGGGGGTCTCAGTAGTGATGAGCACACTGGGTGCAGTGCCTAAAGACCTTGGCTTGCACTTAAACACAATCGGCGCAGAAAAAATTAACCATCTGCCAGCTGCAGAAGGCCACCTTACTGGGATCTGCACGCATCATTCGCCGATACATCACATAGCCCTACACACTTGGGAAGTGTCCGACGTGTGATCCAATACAACAGCCAGCAGAGTGTTTGCTACGGACTCATCTTGTTGTGTTTCAAATAATAATAATAATAATAATAATAATAATAAAAAATCTTTATATCCCGCTTTTCTCCCTCATGGGACCCAAAGCGGCTTACGACATATTAAAATCATATAAACAACAATCCAAATACATCGATAATAAGTATAAAACGTCATAAAACAACAATTAAAACAATAATATACATTTAAATTCTAGCGGCATTATGCCAGGTTATATTGCACTTTGTTCCAGTCCATACACATTATGGTGTTTCTCATCACTCCAACGTAGGTTTATTTTATTTTTTTTGCTTTCATCTAACTCAGAAATGTAGGACCCTAACACAAAATGTGCCCTCGTTCACACATTTTATCTCTGAAGGACCTTTAGAAACATCTGGGGAGGATCGGCATCAAATGTGAGGTTGGAAACCTACCAACACCTCCTCTGTATACACCGAAGGAGTCATGTGGAAGTTAAAAGAGATGGAAAAAACCCACCACCCCCACCATCACCACCACCACCACCACCAACAAAATAATAATAATAATAATAATAATAATAATCCTTTATTTATACCCCACTACCATCTCCCCTAGGGACTCGGTGCGGCTTACTAGAGGCCGAGCCCAAATACATCATAAAACATAACAACAACAATACAACAATAAATAACTCATAACAAAACAAAACAATACAATAATGACATGATGCAATTAAAAACCTGTGGCAGGGCCAAATGTAAGAATTAAAATTTTCAAATGCTGGGCATGTCCAGGGAATAAATCCAGCCTTTCTATTTTGCACCAGTTAGGATGTGACTGGGAGAATGAGGATAAACTTAGTCAATTCCCTCTGACTCATCAATGCAGCTGAAAGCATCAATAAGGAAGAGATTGCATTAGGAAGTGCATCCCTCTTATAACATTCCTCTGGATCCTGCCACAGGTTGAACAGATATCTTTGATGAAGGAGGAAGAAAAGCAGCTCTTAAGGCCATGGTTCTATTAAAGCTCTTGCATTAAAAGAAAGAGCATTTGAATTTTTTAAAAACAGAGGAAACGACTGTCTGGGTCCCTGGACGCTATAATTAGAGCTAAACTGAAGCAAACAGACTCCCCAAAGAAAACAGCCAGAAGTCGTCTGGAGGAGAAGCGAGGCAGCTGCCCTTAATTATATCTTCAAAGGAGGAAGACAACATACGACATGCCATCCATGCCACATGCGTGTGCGAGGGGGACACGCTGTTCTGAAGGTGAGGATGAGAAGCGTGGGGAAGGATCGTCAAGACAAAGAGGAAGACAGCCAAGCTGGAGACTGGTAATATCTGGAGGCTCTCCTCCGCCAACACATTCGCCCTACTTAGGCATAGCTACGAATCCCACCAAGTTTGCAAAGATGGCTGCAAAATCTTGGAAGCCTGATGTTTTGCTCTTGATCCATGAGCTATAAAAGCACCAAAAAACTTGAGGAATTAGGAGTATGCCTCAGGGATGGAGAAAATGTTCCACATAAACAAGCCAGAGCTACAACCATGAACATGGTATCATATTCCAGTGACTCAACTTGGTAGTGGAAATATC